CTGCCACTGGGACTGGAGCTCTGTTGCTGGGGCCGGAGCTTTGCGGCCACCACTGCCAGAGCTCCACAACTGCTGCTGCAATTCCTGAGTTCCATGGCTGGGGCAAGAGCTCCACAGCTACTGCTGCAGTACCCCCTCTACCACCTGGCCACCGGGGCCAGAGCTCTCTGCTGTGCCACCTGCCCCTCCCTGGATCTCTGGCTGAGGTCTCCCCCTCCCTGCACCTCTCTGCTGCACCTGCCTTATGGCCCAACTTCCCTATACCTAGGCTGTGTGGTCCAGGAACATCCATGGTCCTGGGAGACCATGGATGTTGCCAGACCAAAGAGTGCCAGTTAAGGGAGGTACAATCTGTAATAACTTCCTCTTCCACTATATGCACACTCATATGTCCCCACAATGAGAATTAGTCCATTCTTCAGAACACAGTCCATTACAGGGATATATTAGAGGCAGCAGCATAGGGTGCTAGGCAGGAGCTGGTCCACAAGGGGAGATAGTTTAAAAACCAGCTCCCCTCATGGACTGGCTGCCTGTTACTCCGTGCTGCTGCCTCTGATACTGAGGCAACAGCGCAGGGTGGCAACAGCCCCGCCCAGGGGAGGGGCTGAGCTCCCGGCCCAGGCAGGAGTCGGAACTGAACCGGGCTGCCTGCCTACGTGGCTCCTACTATACTTTTAATGCAGGGCAGCAGCGGGGTAATAACATAAGAGCGGCCATGCTGGGTCAGACCAACCATCCATCTAGCCCAGTATCTTGTCTGCCGACAGTGGCCAATACCATATGCCCCAGAGGGAGGGAACACAACAGGTAATCCCTCATGTGCTCCCTCCCCTGTCAACCATTTCCAAACAAGCAGAGGCTAGGGACACCATTCCTATTCAACCTGGCTAACCTCCATGAATCTATCTAGTTCTTTTTTTTTTTTTTTTTTTTTTTTTTTTTTTTTGAGCCCTGTTAAAGTCTTAGCCTTCACCACATCCTCTGGCAAGGACTTCCAGAGGCTGACTGTGCACTGAGTGAAGAAAAGCTTCCTATTGTTTGTTTTTAAAGCTGCTGCCTGTTAATTCCATTTGGTGATCCCTTGTTTTTATATTGTGTGAATAAGTAAATAACTTTTCCTTATTCACTTTTTCCACACCAGTCATGATTGGGGTAGGTCCTGGCCCCGGCACGAGCCAAGACTTAGCTGGGCTGCTGGCCAGCCTGCTAAAAAATGTGCTGGCTAATCTAGCCCTAAATTGTACTCCTTCCTATTGTACACTTGTGGGGGGAAAACCATAGTTCTGTTCAAGAAAAAAAGGAGTGAGTGAAATTTTAAATCTTGCAAGTTATATTTTTTCTCTCTAGAATAATCTTCCCGAGAATCTTCTGCAGTGGTGGTACTTAAAATATTATTTTGTTTTGAAAGACATTCAACAATAGTCCCTCTTTTATTCTCAAGAAATATTTGTCCAATAATAAAACCTTTTGAAAATGGAAGACATTTTTTAAGAGCAATCATGTCTATCCTCTACAAGGAGATCCCTCTTCTTTACCTTACATCTTTCTTTTGCTCCAGGAATTAGTGGGTTATTTTGAAAGATAAAAGTTGGTGTTTACCTCAAAGTTTGTAAGGAGTAGTGGGCAGGTACACTGCGCTTCTGAACATATTTCCCTATCCTCTGTTGTTAACCTTTTTACAGATCTTGCCCAGTTCCTTTTGAAATACTGTATCTGAGTAGCATTGTTAAGCCTCAGTTGTTACTGGTGATTAATCATGAACATAGAACTTTGGACTTTTTCATTATTCATCCACCGTTTAACAGGACAGTATAAGCAATGATTCTGTTGAGGCTTCCATTGTTTCCCCCCAGAGTCAACTCCATTTTCTCTAACCATCATTCATTTTAGCAGATGAAAACATTTTATCATTTACCTTGATATCTTTTGTATTGAATTACCTTTTCTTTTTCTTTGTCAGCTTTTTATTGTCATTGGAAATAAAAGGGCAAACGGTTTTTGGGCAGGAAAACTTCAACCTGAAGAAGAATTGCATATGGACTCCCCGCTAGAAAAAAGGGTAACATTTATTACACAAAAATACAAAGAAGGAAGATTCAGGAAAACTCCTTTGGGCTACAAAACCAAAGAAGAATTAAATAAGGTAAACTTGTGATAAACTAAGTCCCACAATTTGTGAGTACGGGGTTGCACTTTTAGGTCCCTCCTAATGATTTTACGTGAGTTCTTATATGATTTTTTAAAAAAGAATGGTAGATGTCAACACTCCTGGCTAACATTCTGCTCTAATAGTGTTATTGTCTAAGCCGACATGTGAGCTATTAGTCAGTAATGACAGATACTTTTTATCTGTGCAGTCCACTGCATTATTAGAGTGTAGCTCTTTGCATACTAATATAGTAATATACTTTCAGCATAAAAAATACCCCAAATTCTAATTCCATAGCATTTAGCCATTATTTAGGAGTAGAAATGATTGTTCGACCTGTTGTGATTATGGTTGGTCTTTTGAATAGTATGGGAGTTAATTGGTAGTACTGAGTACATGCTGTCTCTACACACACACATCTTGAGTGACTGTTAATGAAAGCTGCTCAATATACTGTCTTAAATTAACCTTATTCACCTTGCATTTTAGGAGCAAGTCATGTTGTCAGATCCTGTTGCTTGGATTATGCTCATGCATGTAACATATCATACAGCACAATTACTCTGAAATCATCTTCAGATGTTTTATACTTTTGATTATTTTGAAATATTTTCAGTATATACAATGTCTGTCAGTAGTTCTTAAAATTACCCCATGAGTACCCATCCTCTGAGACTTCGGCCCCTTTTAAGGTATCTCAGGTTAGATGTGTTAAAATTGAGGTGCTGCAGAATCATTAATTACTTTACCAATGAAGATCAGGATTTTCAGAATGCAGTTGGTTAATTGCTCTCTTTCTAGTTACATTGAGTCTTGGGGCCAAATTTCTGTCATTCTAGTCAACTCCAAATACTGGGGGATTGACAGAAAGAGCTTCCTGCAGAAATTTAGATGTGAGAGGGAGAAATTCTCTTGAAACTGTGGATGGGAGAGGGTTAGTGGAGTGCTTCATATATTCAGTATGCTACACTACAGTCTGGCATAATTACTTCACACAGTCTTTTCTCTGCAGAACATGGGGAATTCAGAACCTACTGCAGAGGTTAGAGGGATCTCTACTATTGTTCCCTCTCCTTCCTACTATTTCCCACTATAGAAAGGCTCTGTGAATGAGGATGTGAGGGTTTGCCCCCATTAATTTTCTATTTTAAACTGACTTGTCATTTTTCCCCTACATGATCAGGCTCTGTGTGCTGCAGTAGTTAAACAAGATGTGTTGGAAACAATGACATTGCTATTTAGTGGAGCTGATGTTATGTGTGCCACTGGAGATCCTGTTTATAGCACTCCTTACTTATTAGCCAAGAAAGCAGGACAAAGGCTGCAAATGGAATTTCTCTACCACAATAAATTTTCAGGTATAGAGTTATATTATGTTGTCTTCAGCTTTTGTATGTTTTAAACTGTCTTTATGAGTTTAATAAGGAAAGAGAGAGAAAAAAAGGTGGAACCTCAGTGCTGAGTTGAGAAAGTATAAGTCTTTGACAAATGTGTTGGACATGATGTAGGAGCACAGGGAGATAGAATTAATTGTATTTGAGCAGAAATCAAATTTCACTGTGTGTGTTTTTGATGCTACTTCCTTTGCTAAAACATCATGCTTAAGGTCTCATTTTCTCAAGAAAAAGTCATGTGTATCTACATGCTTGTAAACAGAAATCAAGAGCCTTCATATTAATCACAGAGAAAATCTGATGAGACCATATTATAATGATAGTGCGGCTATTTAACTATCCATTTAATACGTTCAAAGCAGCTTTTTCAGGCTGCTGATGCTTACTATAATCCTTTTAATCTTAATCAGTGTCTACAGCACATAGACTTATCCATTTGTCTCAAAACCATCTCTCATTATATAGCTCATCTTTTAAATCAAGTCAGGCTAAAATAACAGAATGTCTCCCATCAAACCATCCCAGTTCCCCCAGATAAACTTTAGAGCATACCTCAAAAATCAATAACTCTGGACTGATCAGGGAGAAGAGACACTTCAAAGATTCTGGGAGACACTGCCATTAATACGTTCTGCCTTAGACCAGGACAATATTAGCTCATATAGCTCTGACATGGGGTCTCCGGCAGTGAGTTCCCAAATTACTTAAGACTTCGTAGGTCAAAACCAATTGCTCTGCAAGAATCCCATCTTCATTATGTCTCTCTTCCCTGCAGTGCTAAGCCTTGGAGAGCTATGTAGCATTCTTGCATAGGCCTAGCATTGGGCTCTTTCCTCCTCAGAGTGAGGGGGAACCCAGAAAGCTGATGGTGTTTGTCAGAATCTCATTCTGCTCTTTGCTCTGAGCTTGCAGCAAAGGTATGATTGAGACTTCAGGATACAAATTCTTGGTTCAAGTATATTAAGTAAAGTTTAGTAATACAGCTATTTAACCTATTACAAAAAAAAGCTTATGGTACCTTACATTTATTCTTGATGGATTTCCGTAACATCATGACTAATGTAAGTATTTTAACTCACATTTCATTACTTTACTTAATATATGCAAGAAATAACTCAATTAGAGCAATATATAAGACAGTAGGAATATAATTTAAATCCTGTAAAGCATGAGGTGAAGAAAACTGTATTCAAGAAATGAGACAAGGGAGGTTAAATGGCTGTAAATGTTAATAAAGGAAATTCTGCTTTGTTGATTTTGTTCTCTTCATAGAGTTCCCAAACCATGAGACCTGTTTTGAAAGTGGCTTTTCTGACGATACTTCACATTCTGTTTTTCTTTGTGAATTTTTATACAAAGTTTCTTATAATTCTGCTAAGCTATTTCCAGACAGGAAATTGAAAGAAGGTAACTATCTCTTCTTACTTTTGATACTTGATTGATTGATTGATTCTGTACAATGTATGAATTTATTGTCTTAACTTCTAACATTAGATTTTTTAAAAGTTCTGTAAAGACAAACTACATCTCTATAATTACACATCTTTACAGAAGCAAAAGAAGTTAGCACTCACTCAAGGAAAATTACAATAACCTCAAATCTCTCTGGTCAGTAGTTGATGGAGAAGAAAAGGAGAGAGGCAACTAAACTTCTGAAGAAGAAAAAGGTGGGAAGATAATTTAAATCACCAGAGGGAAATAATACATCCCAGTCCTCAACCACCACATCCTTAATGGAATTTGTACCAAGTTTTTGCTGAGAGTTAGTTTTTTGAGTCCATACAGGAGTGTGTGTGTGAGTGCAGACACATGCAGAAATATAGCTGTTCTCATTAACAGTGTAATTGGCCTTGCATTTCAATGATCACTAAGAAATCCTGAATTTCAGGCTTCTAGTTTTCTATGTGAAATCACCAGTATCATAAGGTAAGAAAAGGAGAAAAAAATAGATTCAAGCCTCAGCGTTCAGCTTTCAGCCAAATGTACTCAGTGTTCAATTGTTTCAAATCCAATGTGATTTACCTTTTACAGACAGTTCAGGAATATTGCCTGCCTACAGCCTTAGTGGCTGCCATAGAACTGGGGCCATTTCTATGTTCCTTGAGCACCCAGAACCCTGTGCATCCATCCCCTTTTCAAGCAGCAACAGCAACTCTATCCCCTGCAGCTCCCACTGGCTGCAGTTCCTAGCCAATGTGAGCTACCGGGGCAGAATTTGCAGGTGCACAGAGCCTCTTAGTCATGTCTCTACCTAGGGGCCAGAGATATTGTCTGCTTTTTTGGAACAGCACAAAGCCAAGGCAGTCAGGGAGCCTGCCTTAGCCCTGCTGCAATGTTAACCTCCTGAGGTAAGCACCACCTGGCTACAGCCTGCACCCCAGGGAAGAACTCCTTCCCACACACTAACTCCCGCCCTCATTCTACACCCTCTAGCTGGAGTCCCCTCCGGCATCCTAAGCCCCCCATCCCTAGTCCCACCCTAGAGTCTGCAACCCCAGCCAGAGCCTGCAACCCTTTCCTGCACCCCAGCCAGTTTTCCCAGGGCCTGCTTTTGCACTCCAAACCTCTTGGCCCAGCCCAGAGCTGCCTCCTGCACTCCAGACCACTCAGTCCCACTCCTTTCCCTCACTTTTATTGGGCAGTGATAGAAATGTAGCCGTGTTAGTCTGGGGTAGTTGAAGCAAAATGCAGGACAATGTAGCACTTTAAAGACTAACAAGATGGTTTATTAGATGATGAGCTTTCGTGGGCCAGACCCACATTTCTATTGGTGAGAGACACACATTTTTGAACTTACACAAAGGTCTTCTTTAGGGCAAAGAGACCTACATAGAATTGTCAGTTGTATACACGGTAGAACAGATTGTTTAGCATAAGTAGTTAACACATGTTTCAAGAGGCCATTCAAGATGAAGAAGCCCAGTGATACCTCTCGAGTGAGAGGGAAGAAAGGGGGTGGGAACCATCTGAGGAAGTTGTTAGTGGCTTATAGATTGTTGTAATGAGCCATAAATTCAGTGTGTCTGTTCCATCTATGATTTTTGGTGTCTAACAGCTAAATGAATTCAAGCTACTAAGCTTATCTTTTGAGGGTGTTGGATAGATTTCCTTTGAGGATGAGGATTTTATTTTGCAAAAAGTGTTCACCCTACATGCTAAGGTGTTTTTATCTTTTCTCATTTTCCTGTGTGAGTTCATTTGAGAGCATGTGGATTGTCTTAAGTTCACCCATATAGTTACTATAGGGACACTGCTTGGACTGTACCCCACGTTGGGATAGCCATGTGTAGGACTCATGGGTCATGAAAGGTATGTTGAGCAGGGCAGGATTTGTTCATTATAGCAAATGGAAATATGCCTGCATGTTTTGCCTCTGTTCTGGTAGGGTCTGGTGCTGTTGTGAGTTGGTGTGTGTCCTTGCTTCTGATGATGAGCTTGGAGAAATTATGGGGTGGAAGTTGTTTGAAGGCTAGAATAGGAAACTAAGAAAATATTTCTTTCAGCATAGGGTCCCTGTACAGCATGAGGGTTGTACTTGTTCAATACTGCAATGTGGGGTTATAGGTGACTACTAAGGATGTATAGTATTAAGGAGATTTATTTCTGCTGGGTTTCCCAGCATATTTGAGAGGTCTGTTCCATGATGTGATCTACTTCTTTGGTGGAGTGCCTGTCTTTGGTGAAGGTTGTTTAAGTGCATTAAGTGTATTCCCTAGATTCTGGGGTATTTATATGCCTGACTGTAGATAACAAATTTCTTGATGTGTTTGGGGTGGTTATTGGATCTATGAAGGTAGATATGGTGAGCTCTCATTTTCCTAATTGTAGTTGTCTAGGGTTCCATTGTTGAAGCTGATCATGGTGTGTAGGAAGATGATGCAGGTATAAGAGTGTTCTAAAGAGAGGCTAATAGATAGATAGTGGTAGTTGAAGTTATACTGGCAGTCTCTGAGGGAATTTAAGTCATCTGTCCAGAGAATGGAAATTATCATCATTGTGTCTCAAATATACTGTTAGTTTTGTGATTAATTTGTCCAAAAATTCGTCTTCACAGCAATCTATGGAGAGGTTGGCATATTGGGTAGGCATCGTAGTACCCATGGCTGTTCTCATGGTTTGCTCGGAAATCTGTTTCATCTTGTATTTAGCTTAGATACTCAGAGAAAATTTCCCAGGCTTGAAGAAGTATTCTGTGTGAGCTCAAAACTTGTCTTTCTCCTTAACAGAAGTTGGTCCAATTAAAGAAATGTCATCACCCGCTTTGTCTCTCTTCTCTTCTAATATATTGGGTCTGACATGGCTATAACACTGCATACAAGATTTTATTGATGCATTTAAGGTTGACTTTTAAATTTGTAGTTGCACATTGTGGCACATTTAGGGGGGAATTAAAAAAACAGAAGACAGACAAAATTCCAGCACTAATACATTTCTTTTTAAAATAAATTTGATTGAGTTTGAGTTTTTGGAGTACTGACTCATGTTGTAATTTTTTGGTGTGGGTTGGCAATGAAAGCTTTTTTCAAAGAATTTTAGGTATTTCCAGCATTGAATTATTAAGTGTCACTTTTAATTCCTAAATGCCCCTCTTTTGGCAAACACATTAGGGATTGAACCAGGGACCTCTAAAGTTGAAGAGCCAATTCCTTATAGCAGAAGCTGTTAACAGACTCTTACCCACTAAGGACTGAGCACAGAACTATACTGATAACACAGTCACCAGTAGGTTATGTCAGCATTTCCAAGGAGAACACTTTAGGGCACATCTGTGAAGTACAGATCTAGATCTAGTCTTTACCAGACCAGAAATGGGTGTTTGGATTTCTGTATGGCACAATTCTGTCAATTTTTTTTATGACACTTATATGCTTTACATTGGCAGAGAAACAAGGATATCTTTGAAATCTGAGCCACAGGATTTTAATGAAATGCTAGTTTACCCAAATATGCCTTTACTGCATTGTATTTTAAAGGATTGAAGTGTATATTTCCACTCTTGAAATTCTATAAAAGTTTTACACTTTTGTAATTCACCTCTAAAATTAAATTATGACTTAGCTCCTTTAACCAAATACATTTGCTTACAAGAAGACAGATTAAGTATCACACCAAAGTGTTCTGGCATGGCATGCACTACTGTGAAGAAAGCTTTATAAGTAATTACTTTTTAGAGAAAGGTTATGCATTAAAACCACTTTGATTTTGTTGTTCAACTGAAAGAGGGGTTTTAAGCCTATTTTTATGACAAAATTCTGATAGATGACTCTCTCTTCTCACTGAAAGTCCCACTTCACTTTATTTTCACATATAATTTAGTTACTTGATTAAGAAAATAAGTAGTAAAATTGTGTTTTAGTGCAGTGTGTGGATATTTTGGATTACCAAGATTATAGAAATACACTTGTAATATATTGAGAGAGTCAAGATTTCCCAATAGTAATAATTACTGAAAATTCCCAAATGTACTTTAGTCTTGGAATAGCCTTAAGCACATCTTTAAAATGCTTACTATTGGCATTGTACTTAAAGAAAAACATGTTGATTGGAAAGAAGCAATTTTTTAGTTGCCTTGACCTGTGAAAAAATCCTATGTACATTTATATAGTACCTCTTAGGTCTTGAACATTGATTATTTATTCATAATTTGTAAGACACACTGTTTATAAAATTAATTAGTGTCTAATTACATTTAAACTTTGTCTTCTTTTACTAAAATCAACAAAGTACTTAGTGATAGGAAAAAGAGGTATAGCAAAGCTAAATGAATTGCTCAAGTCCACACAGATCTGTGGTGGAGAAAGGAATTAAATTCAGGTGTATCAAGTGCCAAGATAATGCCCTACTTACTGGACTATCCTTCCTTCCATGAAAATTACAGCTTTGTGGATTAAATAAATACAAATCAGAGGCTTTCTACTGCATTTTAAATAGAGAAGTCTGTAGGCCTGCTTTTTGTGTATTTCTCATCTTCGCACAAGCAATGACTTCAGCGGGTGTGCACATCATTTGGAGAAATGTTTGCTAGTTACCAGCTGTTAGTGATCAATGGGAAGAGCTCTCAAACACTGTTACTATTCTGGTGCAATACATCAAAGAATAGTGTTTGGTTTTTTGTAGGAGAGAAGGAAAAGTTGTGTGATGAATGTCTTCTAAAACATTTAGCATTCCAAAGACATTGTCGATAAGATTATAACAATTCAGTGCAAATTCTAAGAGTTGAAAATCTTTTAAATTCTATAAAAGTGATTTGCCATCTTCATTGCACTTTGATCCCCTTCTGATAACAAAAATTACTACATGACCCCAGGAGGGAGGACCGAGGACCAAGCCTGTCTAAGCTCGACCACCCTATCCCTTCTTCTCTGGGGCAAAGCTGAGGCTAAGAGCTTCTGTCCTGGATGTGAAAATATAATCTTAGTTCTAGGGCTAGGCCATGAGACTTGCACTTCAGACTTGATGGATCTCAAGGCCAATTAAAATTGGGTCATTTTGGAATCCTGACCCACAGTTTGAGAGTGTCTGCTGTACACTGAAAGTTGGAATTTTGCATAGAAAGGCAATTGTTTAAAAATGAGTGATCATATTTCTTTTTAAAAAACTGATTGAAATCAAGATTACATACCAGGTTACGAAACACCTTTATCACTATAAAATGAAACTCACACTGAATTTCAGACTGTTGCAGAATCTGTGAGCTTGTCAATATGCATTTTAAGCCACTGGATATTTTCATAGGTGCTGGTTATGAGAACTGATGTGTTTTTCGTGTTACCTAGTTTTAATGCACAAGAAAGTGAAGTTAGATGGCAGTGAGTAGCATAGACAAGCAAACTGTAGGCTAATGAAGTACTCTTTTTTTCTCAGTTAGCTTATGTGTGTGTCTACTATGACCTGTAGGAACATTCCTTTTCTAGTGCCAATGCAATAGAATAGTTTATTGGGTGGACATATGTTGATTGTGAAGCACTTAAAGCCCACTATTTTGAAGTGCTAAACATGCCCAACTCACTGTCACTTGCAGATGATTTTTATCCTGAGTTTACTACCATCACATTTGAGTGTTTCTCATTTATAGCTTGTCTTGGATAGGACTAGGGAACCTAATAATAACAAATTCTTACTTTGCCTATTCAAACCAGAATACAAACATAATTAAAAGACAAAGCTATCATGTGGTCCTGATGTCTGTGCTCACTCAAGAAAATTACTTGTGCATAATCCCACATTAGCCAATTAGATCACAGTTGTTATCAGAGCCAGTTTATGAAATGGAACAATCCAAAGAACTGTGACTTTTTTCCCCTACAGCTTGCATGCAAAATTACAAGGCTGATAAGGTTCTGTAAATCTAGCAATATTGCTTATCATTTCTCAGGATCTGATCCTATGCAGTGCTGAATGTTCTTAATTCTTCTAGTGGAATTTAAGTAGCATTCCTAACCTAAGATGTGCCTAGAAATATACAAAGGGCCAAAATGTTTATAATGCTTTTTCTTAAACTGTGCATGGTCTTTAAGTTTCAGAAAGGCAGGAACTATTCAACTTTAATAAAATCTTTCAAACAATACTATAAGTTGCTCAAGTGATCCGTTGTCACAAATGTGTGTGTCATATTATGGGCATTTCAGGTTAAAATCTGGATTAATTTGACCACTTAAGATAGGTCTACGCTAAAGGAGACTGTCAAATTAATATATGCAACTCCACTAATATATGCAATTCCACTAATTTTGTAGCTGGAGTTGACGTACCCTTGTTCAAGTTTCCTTGCAATCCCCACAGCAGGACGCTGATGGGAGAAAATGCTCCCATCTGTTTCCCTTCCTCCTTTCAGGAATACTGGCTGCTGACAGGAGTGCCCTCTGAGTTCCATTTAGCTTGTTTTTTCTAGACCTGCTAAATTGAACTCCAGCAAATCGATTGTAGAAATTTCAATCTTCCCTCTAGTGAAGACATAGCCTTATAAATGCCATGTGTTGTTAACATGTTCACAGCACTGTATGCACATAAATATCATCTAACTTCAGTCAGAATCTGCTCTTAGTACATTTATCCTCCAGACCTAAATATTTGTACATGACCAATAAGACTACCTCAGTATTAGACTTATTAAAGAACTGTTGAACATGAGGTCTTCTAGACACCAGCATAGTTATAGAGTATAACAGGAGTGGGAAACTTTTTAGGTCAGGGGCCACTGACCCACAGAAAAATTGGTTGGGGCCATACAGATGAGAAGCAATCCAGCCTCTGGGTCTTAGGTTCCCTACCCCTGACCAATATATTCTACTGTGAATTTGGAGTAACTCCATTGAGTTCAATGAAATTCCATGGATATGAGTGAATGGCGTATCAGGCTCCTGATACATAACCCACTCTGGTTTCTGTCCTCTTTAAATGCCAACCAACCTAAAATTTGTATTAGATTAATAAAACAATCCTTCACATGTTTTCTGATTTGACAACATGCATTGCTAGTCTAGTGGGAACAAATTTTTCATGTTTTCTAGATCACTTAAAATAAAACTATAGACATTGTTTTTCTTGTGTTCTGTAGTCTGCAATGTTTATAAGTTCTGGAAAATATGACCTTTTGTGTTTTTCCTAGAATCTTTGAAAGGTTTAGATTGTTTTTCGTAGCCTTATGACATTGAGTGGGCACTGTAGCATCACCTTACAGTGGAAAATAGATTGAATCTGTGTTGGCCACTATTTCCAGTGTCCATGAAAAACTAGCAGCACCTTTTCTGTGTGGCATGCTATGATTCAACTGTTCAATTTGTCAAGATAAATTGTTCCTGTAACTTTCAATGTTTCTAACTGGGGAGGGTGTTTTTTTTTAAATTCCAAATCATATGGTTTTATAACACTGAACAAACCAAATTCAGTATTCAGTTTTCTACCTCCCATCAAGCTATTTAAGCAGCAAAAGGAAATTTGTAAAGCAACTTGACATCTATACTTCTGATACTCATAAAATTTAAAATGAGTGCATTATGTTGACAAATATCTGATTGAAGTACCATACGTTAAATATTATTTCTTCAGAGTTTAATGGGTATTACTATATGAGCACTACAGCTGAAATACCAGCTCTATTGAAATCAATGGCAAAAGTCATTCCTTCACGTATGTATCTTCTATAATATTAATGATTGTAGTAATCTGTGACATACTGTATATCTTTTTAACCACAGACTGCAATAAAAGATGGTGTACTTTGGAAAGTGGCTTCTTGAGTTACTATGAAAATGATAAAACAACCACTCCTAATGGTATGATTGACATCAGTGAAGTTACCTGTCTCGTGGTTCACAAAGAAGATTCCTTTTTAAATACTGGGTAGGTTCCAAAATTAGTTATTTGAAATAAACTAAGACATTTTGAGCCTTTGTCCTAAGAAGTGAATATGTGTTCACTACTGCTTCACATGTTTCTGGACTTTTGCAAAAGAGCTGAGCTGTTTTACGTGGGTGACAAGCAATTAAGTGGTCTTTGGTGATTTTTTTATTAGTAGACAATAAAATGTTGTACAGGATAACTTGGAAAGGACAGCTTAAATTAAATTAAAGAAGTCTACATTTTCTGTAAAAGGTATTTATCACTAATATAAAAATTGCTAAACAATTATAAATTGGAACACTGAGTTTGGAGAATGTCTTCTCCCCCAGGCTGAAACATTTGGCATGTGCCTCTTTTCCTGCAAATAAAGTATTAGATATGTTTTAATATTAGTAAAGAATCACTTACAACAGTCTTTTCAGTGGGCAAACAGTCTGATACTCAAAAAGCATAAAATATTTTAAATGTATTGTAACAGTCTTTGTCCTGAAACTACATAAAATTGCAAGGTCAAATAATACTCTTCCAATGAAATTTTCATTTCAACTTAATGCAACGCCCAATATGCAATGCCTTCAGAAAATATATTGACTTAAAAGATATTTTAACCATCCTGCTATGACTGCATAATATAAACTGTTACAGTATTGGCTAATTTATATATGTAATATTAGAAGAAAATACAGATGGATTTTCCGTAGAAATTAGATAATGAGAGTATGAGAGAGAGAGAGAGAGAGAGAGAGAGAGAGAGAAATTGTGCTTTTGGGTGTTTCATATTATGAAGCCTAAATATAACTGCCTCTTTTATTCTCTTGTTGATTTAGGGCCATTTTTACCTTTGAAATCTATTTACTGTCAGAACGTGTTTTTCTGTTTGGAGCTGAAACTGCACACACACACAAAAAATGGACCTGGGCAATAGCCAAGGTAGTGCTGATAATTATCTATTCAAGCTAGGCCAAGAGCCTTTACATAAGATATAAAGTGGCAGTGTTAGCCACTTCTGGGAAACTGTTCCTTAGTGTAAAGTTGATGAAGTCAGATCTGTTTGGTGTTTAAAGGCTTTCTGTGCAGCAGAAGGAAATATGTATTGTAATGAACATGTGAATTGAGATAATGCAATGAAATACAAGGAGAATTGGTATGCAACATTCTGATACTGACCTTAGGAATATGGTTGTATAGGTGCTAGTGTCTCAGTAGGTAATACTATCTATTTATACAGATCCATTCATTAGGAGCTTACAACTGACCCATTGTGTGGCTACAAATATGCTTTTCACAAATTTCTACCAAAACAAAACAAGATGAATAAAGGTTAGATTGCTTAAAATAAAAATAGATTGTTAGCTTTGCAAGTTTGAGGACAAGAACTATAAAAATGTACTATTTCTGATTTTACATATAGTTTTAGGATTTAATTTATATATTATTTTAATCCTTATAAAAGAATGCAATATTTATATTGTCACCTCATCCCCATTTTATACATAGGCTTTATCATTATATATATATGCATCTTTCATATTTGCAATGACTTGCTTTATTCTTCATTTTTTCTTGGTAGCATTTTGTCCCCTCCATAGCTGAATGTTTGTTAAAGAGAGACTACGATCTGATTGGACAGCTATACTACAAAGATTGCCATAATCTTGATCAATGGAAAAAAGGCTGGTTTGCTCTAGATAAATCAAGTCTACATTTTTGTCTTGAAATGGAGAATGCTCAAGAGGATTCAATACATCTAAGACGACTGCAGGAGCTAAGTAAGAGTTCAGAGATCATTTTAAATTTATTAGTGTACGTTCTAAGAAACTCATTCTGATCTCTGCTTTTAAGAATATCTATATAGTATTAAAATCACGAATGTCAAGGAATTCAATACACGCATCTCATTGCATGCACCAAATACCATCCCATCCACGCTGTATCTAGATCTATTTCTCTTTTTCCATTGGTTTCCCGGAATAAAGCCATTTTCATAGCATCGTAGTTAGTAAAACAAGTCTGGTCAAGTTACATAGAATCTTTCTTACAAGGATTCAGGATCATAGAATAATATAAGACATGTTGTGGGGGTGGAAAACCTGCAGCTTGCTGGGCAAACGCTGTCCGTCAGTGTTCTATGTGTGATGGATGAAACATTTTGTTTCCTGTTGCCAACATGCAGGGTTGCCAAAGTCTGCTGGTTTCCATCTATATAGTTTTTTATCCTACCAGTATTACTAAAGTGACCTGCACGTAAACCAAGTGCACATGAAGTTAGGTGCATGCTTATTGCACACAACACAGATTGTGAGAGCAGTTTTCTCTCTCTCTCTGCATTCAAAGCACTGTTACAGTTTAGTCAGCACATTCTGCGAATTCTAGGTACATAAGCGCAGATAGCAAAACTACCTTATCCCAGGAGACAGTCTTGGTTAAGACAGTCTTGAGGCCCACTGAAGTGGAGGGCCACTCATGCGGCCCACTCACTGTTTTAGATTGCTGAACACTGATCTATCAGGTCCGATGTCCCGCAGAAACATTCAATATGTTTTCTTGAGATAATTGACTGGTTTAGTTTTGAAGTATGGAAATGTATTGGAAAATTGTAGTCCTCTTCAAAAACTATGTTACCATCAAGTATTTTTCACTATTCTATTAGTTACTTTGGTATCAGATTTTCATTTGCTCAATTTCATGATGTGAGGAAGATAGGAATATCTATATCTAATAAATAAATAAATTCTACACTATGTTACGCTGAGTTTCATAATACAGGTTGTGCATCCCTTAATTGGGACTCTCCGGTCCAGCAACATTCATGGTTCAGC